CAAGCATTTCACATGTCTTAACTCTGCAGCCCACTGAGGTGCTTAGATACTATTATAAGCCCCATTTTGCAGATGAGAAAATGAGGCACAGAGCCCAAGATCACAGAATTAGTAAGACTAGATCCCAGGCATTCTGGGTCCAAAGCCCAAGCTGTTCACCACCATCTATGTGACCATAAGGAAGACATGGCTCCTGTGGTTAGAGAATGTACAAGGCAACAGGAGAGACCAGTATACCTACCTGGTTTGGTTTGGTTTTGGTTTTTTGAGACAGATTATGTCCCCTGGGTAGAGTGCAATGGCATCACAGCTCACAGCAACCTCAAACTCTTGGGCTTAAGCGACTTCTCTTGCCTCAGCCTCCCACGTAGCTGAGACTACAGGCGCCTGCCACAAGGCCCAGCTATTTTGGTGCTGTTGTTGTTATTGTTGTTGAGCAGGCCAAGGCTGGGCTCGAACCCACCAGCCTCAGTGTGTGTGGCTGGCACCCTACTCACTGAGCTACAAGTGCCAAGCCCACCCACCTGGTTTTAATGCCTTGTAAAATGGTACCATAGAAGCACAGGAAAAGGGCCCTGGGAGCTCAGAAGAGGGAGCAATTGAGTCCTCTTTGGTGGGAGAGGGGAGAAGAAAATCATATAATAATAACAGCCTATATTGGCTGAAAGTTGACTGAGTCTCAACACTGTGTTGTTAAAAGCATTTTCTTGTGTAATCTCTCAACAACCCAGTTTTACAGATAAGAAAATTGGGGCTTGAAGTTAAGTAACATGTAAACTGATTCAAGGTTAGCCCAGGTATTTTGAAGAATGACTAGGATTTAGGCAAGATTTCTAGGTTCTTAACTCTAGGGAAAGGATTTGCCAGGGCCAAGTCCTGGAGCTTTGATTAAATTTAAAGTCCATTTTTTCCATGGATTAAAATCCATCTTTCATGAAATTAAAATTCATGAAATAAGCATATTTCAATTCTGCGTTTCCTCAATTCTGTGATGTACCATCTAACCATCTATTGGTATCTTCCTGAGTAAAAGAAAACTACTTTAAATGTTTTTGTTTTGTTTTCCCAGTCAACAGGAATATAAACGTATCTGTACATTCCCGTGCCTTCCTGTTCAGTTAGGCAGTGGTCCTCAAACATTACTGTGTTGAATCATTTGAGGAGCTTATAAATACAGATCACCAAGCCCAAAGATTCTGATTCAGTGGTCCTGGGAAGAGGCCAGGAAGTCTAAATTTTAGCAAGCCTTTTATTTAATTCAGATACAAGAACAGACGTTGATTATCTGTGGCTTCTAGATCCTTCTGAGTCACTGTTTTCCTTTAACAGACAAACTGAATAACATGTTATTGAGAGTTAGATCAGCTGGGATTTCTGGGTCGGTAGGTAGTTAGTACCTGAGTCCTTTGTGATCTAAGAACTGAGCAGACCTGTTCAGCTTTAAAAGGAAAGAGAATTCTGACACATGCTGTAGACAAATAAACCTGGAGGACGTTGTGCTAAGTGAAATAAGCCCTACACAAAAGGACAATTATTGTACCATCCACTTATATGAAGTACCTAGAGTAATCAGAATCATAGAGACAAAAAGCAGAATAGTGAATGAGCTCTGAGTTTCAGCTGGGGAAGATGAAAAAGTACTGGAGATGGGTGGTGGTGATGGTGGTTGCACGGCACCATGACTAATGCCACCAAACTACGTGCTTTAAATGGTTAAAATGGTGAAATAGTGGTGATAACTGGGGAAGGGGGAATTGAACTGACCAACCTGTCCCGGCTTTGATAATTCTGTACTCTCTTCTGGACACTTGGTGACTTTACTCCTGTGATTGTATTGCCTGATGTGTGACCAGCAGTCCTTTTGCGCCTTCTCAATGATGAAACAAAACACGGTTCTACCTACCCACTTCTTAACCTCATTCATCTCTCATTGTTGCTTTAAAACAAGAAAATGTGGACGTGTAGCCATTCTTCCAGAGATTCGACTGCATTTGTAGTAAACTTATATCTGGAAGCTCTTTACTATATAACTTTTGACTTCACTGTAGCCTTACAATGAAATCTTCTTTAAAAACAGTTAAAATTAACTGTTAGGAGCCCAAATTTAAATATATGTGTTGCTATTGAGGTCAGCCACTCAACCCAGGCAGCCCAGGAAGGAAGAGATACCGTGTCTGCATGGCTGAGTTGGCATGTGCACAGGTGGTGGCAGCTATGTTCCAGCTTCTCTGCCTGGGGACAGCAGCTTTCTTCTGGCACTGACAGAAGCATTCAAGAATATTAAAATGTGGGAGGAAAGATGGTTTCCACTTATGGTTCTTTCTAGCAAGGCAAAGGAGCTAATTCTGGCAAATTTAATCAGAAAAGAAATTTTGAGGAGGAATCAGGCATTCATAGAATTAATAGGCTCAGAAAAGGGGTAGGGGACTCCACCATCATGAACGAATTCTTTTTCCCTGTGTCTTTGCAGTTTTCCTTCAAGGATCAGCTCTCCACTCTGGTGGAAGGAGGTGAATGTCTCATTACAGATCACCTGCCTGTACCCCAACCTGCTAAGGAGTGGGCCAAGGGACTGTCTGCCCCACTCTATGGCCTACAAAGGACACTCCCCTACAAAGGAAGAATATTCCATAAAAAATAACTCCTGTCCACCCCAGCATGTATCCTGGATACAGCATTTTCTTTAATCTTTTTCTGATACCTGGTTCTGGTCACAAAGAAGACTAGGTGAGAGAGTGGTCAGGAAGTGATGAATCCCTCATCCCTACTAGAAAGTCAAGTCCCCAAGCAGGTCCTTCTGTGGGTGCTTCCAAAGTGTCTTCCCGGCACCCGAGGAATGGCTAGTTCTTTCATCCACCGAGGCTCCACGACACGTGATCTGGGGCCATCTAGGGTGCAAGTCCATCTCAGATGACAGTCGCACTTACTGTCACCTTGAGAGGTATTTTGTTCTAGCTTTGCAGGGACAGAAACACAGCCAAATTTTGCCTCTAAATCTTTACATACTATGTGTGACCCATTTGGTGGGCCTTTGTTTTCCTTGGGTCTAAACTGGCTGCTGACAGTGATGAAAACAAACTCCAGCCCATGACACAAGGAACATGGCGTCCACAAGGAACCAGGGAGTGCCACAGTGTGACGGAACAGAGAAGTGAGAAGCATGAACCAGAAGCGTCAAATATGCATGGTGGCATAAACACCACATTTAGGGTAGTAGTTTCCTCTGGGGAGGAAAGTGGGGAGAGGGCTCAGGGAGAGGTGCACAGAGGCTTCAGCATTGCTGAATGTTTTGTTTTTTCTTTACTAAAAATATTAATCTGATTCCATTTGTGTGTTCAGATACTCCTCTCACACCTGTTCTTTAAATGCATGGAAACTTCAATCGTGGACCCCCTTTTTTTTTTGCCAGGGAGATCATTCCCCTCCGATACTCTCTCCCCTGTCTTTGACCCTGCACATCCCTAAGTGGACGTTGGCATCTTTGTATTTGTGCTGTAGGTGTCTCCATAGACTGTTGGTTATTTTGTATTTTAACATTTTACCTGGATGCTATCAGCCGATATATGTCCTTTTGAAACTTATTTTTTTTTACTCTTTTTTTGAGATTACCTGTATTGACAATTAAAGATCTAGTTTATTCTCACCCACTCTTTGGTATTTTGTTACCTAAATAAACTAAACTTGCTTTTTAAAAGTATCTGGAACAAACAAGGCAAAATGTCAAAATTTGTTACAGCTATAGGGTGGGTAGATCAGCATGTGTTATATTACTCTCTAGACTTTTTTGTATGTTTGAAAGTTTTCAAAAATCTAAAGTCACTAGAATGGGAGTCAGGCAAGGTAATATCTCTGTACTATTTGGGCTGGACTGAGACTCTGATTCCACAGCTAATCAGACTGTGATTAAAAGTAAACTTGGTGAGATTGGCCTCCTCTTATGTGCTTTCCGTGGGAATCTGCCTCCCTGGGGAAATGCTGGAAAGTCTTGACCTCGGGCTGAAGAGTGTTTATTTAGCTGCAGGGTTTGGAGTGTGTTGGTAGGTGGCCAAAGCAGGCTAAACAGAATTTGTTGTGGGCCTGGTCATTTAAAAAATAAATTGGCAAAAGACCATTTCACACAATGGTTGCGAGACATAATTTTTTAAAAAATTTATAACATACTTGAACTATAAATAGTCCAAATGCTAAATTGGTCATGACTTCGGCCAGGCCAACCTTTGACCTCAGCCCTCTTGGTTAAGAGATGGCCATTCCTCTCCTCTTATACCTGCCTGGTGCCCATGGGACTGCAGGTGGCCCAAAGTTAGCTTCTCTTCCTTCTCTGTCTCTGGTGCTTTCAAGGATGGGAGACTTTTCTGAACTGAGAGTTTTTTTGTTTTGTTTTGTTTTTTGAGACAGAGCCTCAAGCTGTCCCCCTGGGTAGAGTGCTGTGGCATCCAGCTCACAGCAACCTCCAACTCCTGGGCTCAAACGAGTCTCCTGCCTCAGCCTCTCAAGTAGCTGGGACCACAGGCACCCACCACAACGCCTGGCTATTTTTTGGTTGCAGCCATCATTGTTTGGTGGGCCCAGGCTGGATTCGAACCTGCCACCTTAGGTGTATGTGGCTGGCGCCTTAGCCACTTGAGCCACAGGCTCCGAGCCAGAAGTGAGAGCTTTTGACTGATGGTGTGTGTTTTCACAGAGCCACTGAGTAATTTTGCCACTGATCCAAAAAACTGTACTAGATGAGATAAGAGACTCCTAGGGCTGAGTGAAATTACAGGTGTGGAAGTAAACAATTCTCAAAATGACCAGGGACCCCATTTTATTGCCCACTTCTTCCTGTGGAAAGGCTCACCGGATCCCAGGGTTCACCACGTTTATCCAGCCCTGGGTACCCACTGGAAATGATTTTCGAGTCACCCAGCCTCAACTTCAATTCCTAAGCCCTCCAAGTAAGCATGTCTCCTCCTACCACCATGGGCCACACTGACTGATGTGCCCTTCTCTCCACTCAGGGTATGATTTCTGCCAGGTCCTGCAGTGGTTTGCTGAAAGGGTTGACAGGATCATCCTGCTCTTTGATGCTCATAAACTAGACATCTCAGATGAGTTCTCAGAGGCCATTAAAGCCTTCCGGGGCCAGGACGACAAGATCCGCGTGGTGCTGAACAAGGCGGACCAAGTGGACACACAGCAGCTGATGCGGGTCTACGGGGCCCTCATGTGGTCCCTGGGCAAGGTCATCAACACGCCTGAGGTGCTGCGTGTCTACATCGGCTCCTTCTGGGCACAGCCTCTGCAGAACACGGACAACCGCCGTCTCTTCGAGGCCGAAGCCCAGGACCTCTTCAGAGATATCCAGAGCCTGCCCCAGAAGGCAGCGGTGCGCAAACTCAATGACCTCATCAAGCGAGCCCGGCTGGCCAAGGTAAGCAGGCAACGCCTGGCCACAGCCTTGGGCTGGGAACACCTCTTCCTCCTCCCCAAAGGCAGGTGGAAGATCGGGGGAGGGTCCATCCTAGAAGCCCTAGGGAATGGAGTGATAGTGAGGAACATAGCTGGAGAGTAGGTAGCCCTGTTGACCTTCCAGCTCCTGGCTCTGTGCTTTGGGCAACTGACTTAATTCTCCCAAACCTGCTTTCTGCTCTCAACAGTGGAGCTACTAAGAGCAATTCCCAGGGTGCTCGTGTGGATTCAGGGTGACAGTTTGTCACTGTGACAGGTGCATGGCATAGCTCCTGGTACACAGGGAAGGATCAGTCCAGACACTCACTACCTGGAAGCTGTTGGGGTGCTAGGACAAGGGGAACATGACCAGCCAAACCTGACAGGTCAGCGTGGCACTGAGAGGCCACTACCAGTCACCAAGCCCCTAAAGCACAGAACCCTGTGTCAGTGCAGGATCCAGAGGAGCCCTGGGAGGAGGGTGGTTCAGCCTTACCCCCAGAGTGTGCTTGTTTGGGGTCACACCCAGTGTCCATTCTGGGGTGTATCCTGTGAGCAGGCATACTACAGCTTCTACCTCCCACCCAGTGTATGCCTGGTGGGGTGGGGAGTGGTCTGTGACCTCTCTCTCCCTCAGCATCAGTTCTGTCATATCTCTGAAGAGAAAAGGATACCACTCCTCTCCCTAAAAAGTGATTAACGACGTGTATGTTTCATACTATCACTGTCCTCTAATGCTGGGCATGCCTCCAGAATTTATCTAGTCCCAGTGATTGAAGCTCAAACCTTGCTGATCCTGAGACCCTGGGGGCATTTCCACCAGTGTAAATCCTAGGCCCTGCCCCAGGGCTTTTGATTCAGGCTGTGGATGGACACATGTCCTCGCACACATGTATAAATGCACACACGTGTGCATATACATAAAGCTTCCCAGGTGGTTCTGACAGCCAAGTTCGGAAACCAGACGTCTGTGCTGATCCCTAGTTTTACAAGGACAGACAGGATAAATGATGTCTCCAGGGTCACCTAATCCATTAGTGACAAAGGCAGGACTAAAACCCAGGCCTCCTGGTTCTCAGACCAGCCTTCTGCCTGGGGCTGCCTCCCTTCAGCTAGCATCAGTCCCCAGGCCTGAGTCTCCAGATCCTCTGGCTCTGGTCAGGAAGCAAGGTTAGCTTCCACTCCCTTTGTCTTCTGGGGGCCGAGCACCCACATCCCCTCCCACATTCCTCTTGCCTCACAGTGAGTGGTTTCTGGTCTGGCGCTGGGTCCCAGCAGGTCAGCCTTCTGGTCACCACCACTTTGCTTCACTCAGCCAGCATGTACTCTGCACCCCTGAGAGCTTTGCCTGGTAAAGGGGAGAGGCTCAAAAGCCCCCAATACGGAATGGCAAGCTATACTAATTGAGGTGTGGACACCGTGCTCTGAAGAGGGTGACTGTGGGCCTGGCCAGGAGAGGCAGGGAGGGCTTCAGGGAAGGTGACAGCTGAGAGGGACATGAGCCTTCCACCTTCCTAGCTGCTCCTTAGCAGCCTGCTTCGTGTCCCTGTGCTGACATGTCAGCGAGAACGCCTCCTCCAGCCCCAGTGCCTGCACATGAACTCCCCATCATGCCACTCACGGTGCTTGTGTGAGTCACCCTTCTTTATCCTTTCTTTCTGATGCAAGCAGCTTCTTTCTAGAACTACAAGCCACTTTTTTTCCAGTTCCACAAGGCAGTTGTGCTCACTAGTTTGTAAATCCACTTATGTGCAGCTCTCCTGAGGTGATTTCCTTGCACTTCTGGGCTGATGATTGGTGGCAGGAAGTCTGGTTTTGCCTGTTCGGGGATGAGCCCCCTAGCACGTGATATTTCTCTTCTCCATGTAACCTTCAGGGTACGTGACACTTTACGTAATTTTATAACCAAACTGGTGACTCATCCCATAGCCTTTGTAGTTTTGTATTTTTTTCTTGAGGGACAGCGTCTCACTGCATTGCCCAGGCTGGTCTCGAGTGCCCAGGCTGGTCTCGAGTTCCCAGGCTTAAGCCATCCTCCTACCTCAGTCTCCCAAGTAGCTGGAACTACAGGCATAAGCCACCCTACCTAGCTCTCCTTTGCAGATTATAAGATTTTTTTTTAACCCTTTTTAAATGCTCGTGGACATTTTTACTTTACCAGTCATTGTTGAGGGCCCATTGATTCAAGATACTGCGTATTTAGTCATATATATAAATAAGGAGCAAAAACTTGCTGGCAGTGTCAAGTGCCATACCCATGGAACTTCCCTGCCATCCTTGAGTTAGGCCCTCTGCACAGGCCCACGTGATGTAGGTCTGGAGAGGCACAGAATACCGCTCTGTATTCTGACACCAAATAATGAAAACCCTTGTGTAGATGCAGGGAGTGGGGACAGTCAAACTTGCTGAGCTTACTTATAGGAAAAAAGCTTGTATTTTTTTTTTCTTCCTAAGAATAGTATCTGGCTTGTTCCTTTTAACAAAGGAAAATGTTTGAAGTACGGATATTTGCAGACTGGGCTTCTCAGTGCCAGTTGCCACTGGGACAGTACCATGGAGAAGGAGGGACAGGAAACAGAGTCCCAGCCGGATAAGAAGCAGAATTCAGCACAATGGCCTTGGCCACTAGCTGATGGCATTTATTTTATACCATCTCTAGTTTTATGTTCCATTTATGAACTTGTGTTTTTGAACTCTTTTTAAATGCTTGTGGACATTTTTAATTTACCAGTCATTGCTGAGGGCCCATTGATTCAAGATGCTGCGTATTTAGTTGTATATATAAATAAGGAGCAAAAACTTGGTGGCAATGTAAAGTGCCATACCCATGGAACTTCCCTGCCATCCTTGAGTTAGGCCCTCTGAATAGGCCCACGTAATGTGGGTCTGGAGAGGCACAGAATACCACTCTGTATTCTGATAAGGAGTTAATCTAAGTTTTTCACCTTTGGAGTGTTTATATTTTCTAAAAATTCTTTCATTTTGGTATATTAGTCTTTCTTTCTCTTGATTCATTTTTCCTATTGTGCACCAACAGTGTTCTGGAACTATGCAATTTGCAGTACATGTTATATTGTTTGATCCTGTTGGTAACTACCCAGAGTTTGGTATTATTATCCACATTTCACACATGAGGGAACTGAAACTCAGAAAGATGAAATAACAGCCTTAAGGCTTCACAGCCTGTTAAGTGGCAAAATTTAGATTCAACCCCCCATCATTCTGACTTCTTGGTCTAGAAGGCATTCATCTGTAATCCAGATTTATGACCTTGCTTTCTACATTAATCTGTTTATTCTATAAAATTCTCTGTCTAGGGTGGTGCCTGTGGCTCAGTGAGTAGGGCACCAGCCCCATATATCAGTCCCAGCTACTTGGGAGGCTGTGGCAAGAGAATCACTTGAGGCCAGGAGTTTGAGGTTGCTGTGAGCTGTGACACTCTACCGAGGGTGACATAATGAGACTCTGTCTCAAAAAAAAAAAAGAGAGAGAGAGAGAGAAATTAGACTCATATAAATTTCAAACAATACTCTTTATGGGATAAAAAGAACAAAAGTAAAACGTGAGGCAAGTTCACTGTCAGACGCCACCCTTTGTAAACACGTTGCCCAAGAATAGGGAAGGTTTCCACCCATTTAGAGATCTTTGCTCAACAAAAAAATGAGGCACCATTTGAGGAAGGAATAAGTAAAACTGAGAAAGAAAAGGGAAGGTCAGTGATTTTTAGGTTCATAATAGTTTTGTGACATTTAGTTTCATCTTCAAAACGTGTTCTCCTTAGTCCTGTGATGTGAAGAGCCTGGCTGTCCTGTCTGTCAGACTTGTGCTTGGACAAAGTAAGCATTTCATTTATCACATGGATGTTGGCAGAGGTGTGTGCGAATCATGTCCAGTGGGTGATAATCACCTTAATGCCTCGTCTAGGATGGGGCTTTAAAAATAGCTCAATCGGCAGCCTCGAGCCATTGTGGATGTGTGTGTCAGTGCCTGAGCCCATATATGGAAACCTGTCTCTTTGAAGGTCAACCTCAAATGACTGTGTGGGCCCCCTCAGGTTCCCTTTAAGGCTGTTGAGAATCATATGTGCCATTACTGCCAGTTTGCTCTGAACAGAACAAAGCCCTGCTCAACAAAGAACAGGTCAGCTGCTTTTCTCTGCCTCTAACAGTCTCACACCCTTATTGCCCCCTGAGTTCACCTTTTGGGTCTCTGGTTTAACTGAGTTTTTTATATCATCATAACCATACTTTTTTTTTTTTTTTTGAGACAGCATTTCACTTATTAACCCTTGGTAGCATGCTGTGAAGTCACAGCAACCTCCAACTCTTGAGCTTAAGTGATTCTGTTGCCTCAGCCTCCCAAGTAGCTGGGACTACAGGCACCTGCCACAACGCCAGGCTGTTTTTTGGTTGCAGTTGTCATTGTTGTTTAGAAGGCCCAAGCTAGGTTCAAACCTGCCAGCCTCAGTGTATGTGGCCAGTGCCCTACTCACTGAGCTGTGGGCACCAAGCCCATCCCCTAATTTTAAATGTTCTCTGCAAGTTTCCAGCTAGGCTTATAAAGCTTTAGTTCTCCAATAAGTTGTGTTAAGTTTGCTGATGAGAATGGCACACACTATCCCACTCCGCCTTCCCCAGAGCTGCTGCCCGAAGCTCAGATTCCATCAAGGTTTTTATTCAACCACAAGCACTGGTAGCTTCCTGCACTCCCTGCCTAGGGTTGCCCTCTAAGCCCCCTCCTGATTACATGGCTGTCAGTCATGGAGGTACACACACATCCCCACACACATACACACACACATACACGCTCACTCACGCACACATCACTGGGTACATTAATGGGATTTGTATCAGAGTGTGTGTGAACTTCATATAAATTCATATACATTTAAAGGGGAAGACATCCCTTTCTGCCTGTTGAGTTATTAGCCCTGAGAAATATTGTCATGTTGTCACTTTGGTCCTTTTGATTTGTGCCCACTGATCACCATTAGCTGACTTGGGGCTTTTCTAATTGCTCATGAGAAAGGATGAATCAAACAAGATAAGAACATTCAAAAGCCCCCGTGGCCAGTGTTATATCCTTGTGAATTAAACACTTGGGATCCAAATTCATCCTATTACTATTCAAATATAGACAGTGTATTAATTGTTCGGTGAGGACTAAGTAGCCGGGTGCCTTCTCTGTCATCACCACCCCTCCAGCTGTCGGTTGTTGGCCATTAGTTAATAAGAACAAGTAATGTTTCTACTCTTTCTGGTAGGCAGAGTGCATTTGAATCCTGTGATCTCTTTTATTCTCGCAGCAACACCTCTGAGATGAATGTTGTCATTTCCAGTTTGTGGCTGAGCAAGCTAGACAGGACCCTGGAGTCCTGAGCCTGGTCTTCCAGCACTAGAGCTCCTTCCCCTCTCTTTCCTTCTCTTCTCAATTAGTTCTCTCATTATAAAGAACAAAAGGTCCCAGTATTTCCACCTCCTTCCATGGGGACACCAGAAGGTCTGGCCCCTGGTCCAACATTATTTGGAGAAGTCTTTAACACATAAGGGTAGGAGTGCACTTCTGAAGCTGACCATGGATTTTAGCCATCAGATTGTCCCCTCTGCTCACCAGGCGCCTTTAAAAAATGACAGACAGTCTTTATCCACATTCCTATGCAATGACCTTCAAACACTGCCCAGTGAATGAGGGGCCATCAGCAGTCAAACCCCAGATCAAAACTGTCCAAACGGTTGTTCCACAGGACACACAGTTCACTTTTAATCCACATTTTTAATAACTTTAGTAAGATTTTTAATTCATACTACAGAAAGTAATGAATTCTAGATCAGCAGGAATGAGGCAGGCAAATGCTAGTGCCAGCTCTCTATCTATCTACCTTAAGTAAGTCATAGGAATTCCTAGACCAGATTCAATACTCAACCAATTGGAAAATTACTTTGTAACTTGATAAACTTCCTAAAGTTTCTACACAGGGTCCCTGTATAGAAGCTGACCCTGGGTTGTTATCTTAGGATGCCCCAAGAAGGACAGGAGTGGGGTGGACTTGCAGAGGCAACAGGACATGAGACTTCTACAGAACAGGCCAGCAGAACTTCCTAGAAGTGGAATTTGGGCCCAAGAGCTGCCTGCAGCATGAACAAGGCACCTGAGGGTCATGACTCAGGGAGCACCAGGCTGGTGGAAGGAGGAGGAGTGGAAACTTAGCACACAAGATCTACCCCAAGGTTCATCAGGGCACTGGAAGGCAGGTATCCAGGGGCAGGCCGTGATCCAGTCATCAGCCAGTAAACACCAACAGGTCTAAGGTGAGGGAGCAGGCACCAGTTGGTAGAGAGATGTGGCAGGGGCACATCACCTGAGTGTAGCCCGGGTAAAATAAGCCCTGGACACCAGGGAGAGTCCAGGAACAGGGTGACATCCTCGGGGGTATTGGGGCTGGGTGGGCCATCAGCTGGATTGAGGAGTGGGAATAAGCCTTCCCTAGCAGGGACCTGACACCTGCTTCAGGCCTGGGCTATGGTAGTTATGAGGATCTCAGTGGGAGCCCTCATGTGTGGGAGTCAGAGTAGCTGTGGGGCTTTCTGCTTTGGCTGGGCCTGGCTCCAGAGCTGGGCAGGCCTGGGCACAGACGCAAGAGGTACCCACATGCCCAGTCCAGAGGTCCAGCAAGGCCAAGGCCCAGGAAATGATGTGATGACAGCTGGTGAGCGGCTGTGTCTCCCCAGTTCAGCAAGGCACCTCCCATCCTAGGGGCTCCCACAGCCCCAGCCCTTCTCAACCCCCCAACACACACCAAGCCAGAAATTCACCATCTAAAGCAAAGAAATTTCCAGTTTACCACTCATTCACCAGATCCTCAGAAGAGCAATTAAAGCCCAGAACTCTTATTATAAATAAAGGACTCCCAAGTTGGATTTCTCTAGTTATCTCTAAGAACTTAGAAATATATTAAGTTGTTTTCATCTGGGAAGTAAGTAAACAAGTTTGCTGGTGATGGAAAGGTTTAGAATAATCTCTACAATGGCCAGGCGGCACACAGTGTGTGCTTCTGTTCAGGTGGAAGGCTCTCAGTGCTTGCTCTGAGCGTGTCAGCATTTGCATCCCATGCTTATGTTAGTGTTCAAATCCCAGCAAAATGTTTTTGGCTGTACCCGATACGTATCTGCACACAAAGGTCCTCAGCAGAGCTACAGAATGTATCTGCTCACCCCCTTTATTTAATTTCCATTCTTCCATAAGATTACAGTAGAAGTCTGTTTTCTGTAATAGGATTTTCCATAGCTACATAGTCATTTTCTTTTTGTAGCTACTCTTCTGTTTTTTATCCTTTCTTATTTTAGTTATTTACTTGACTTCTGAATTACTCTGTAGAATTCAAGATACACAAAGAGAACTTTTATAATGAACATTTCATAATCTCCTGAGTGGAAATGTTAAGGAAGGTGTGACACCGGCCAACAGAGCTGTCCCAGGGGGACTCACCCCCCTCGAGTGACAGTCCCCTGGCTACCTCCCCCAACCCTGCCCTGATCAGGGTTTCTGGGGCTTACTCCTCAGGGCATGGAGGCTCCTTGCCCAGAACCTTCTGCCATCCAGCCTCGTTCCAGGCAGCTGGTCTTGTGCAAAAATAACTTTAGTGCCACATGTGGAGATCTCAGGGTCTAAATCAGGCGTCCTCAAACTACGGCCTGCAGGCCACATGGGGCCCACCAAGGACATTTATCCGGCCTGCCAAGTGTTTTTGCTGCCACTGCCTGTCCTGCTTAGTAGCTGACTCGTCCTGGGGCCCGCCGTCTGGCCATCCAACAGTCTGAGGGACAGTGAACTGGCCCCCTGTTTAAAAAGTTTGAGGACCCTGGGCAGCGCCTGTGGCTCAAAGGAGTAGGGCGCTGGCCCCATATGCTGGAGGTGGCGGATTCAAACCTAGCCCCGACCCAAAAAAAAAAAAAAAAAAAAGTTTGAGGACCCCTGGTCTAAACTGTCCACAGGGAGGTTACGGGAATTCTTATTACTCACTGTGCACAGATTTCCATGTAGATCAGCCATTTCTAGCAGCCTCCAGTTTCATTTCCTGGTGTTCCCAGGCACCAGCACTTGTGAAGCTTTTTCTTGGGTCTTCTGATTAATCCCCAGAACTAAGAGCTTTCCCAGCCAGGCCCCACCGGCATCCCTCACTCCTACACAGACACCAGCACTGCCACTCAGAGGTGCAGGAGAACTGTAAGATAGGGTTCCCCCAAGTCTGGCCTATGTTCCAGCCTTCTTAGATGGCTTCATTCCCACGGGAGGAAGGGAGTGATGCCCTTGGTCCTGTGTGTGTTACGATGCATGTAAGATGCCATCTTGCCTGTTCTACATGACACATCCTCACCTGCCCTTTCAGGTACATGCCTACATCATCAGCCACCTGAAGAAGGAGATGCCAAGTGTATTTGGAAAGGAAAACAAGAAGAGAGAGCTTATCAGCAGGTTACCAGAAATCTACATTCAGCTACAACGAGAATACCAGATTTCTGCAGGAGACTTCCCTGAAGTCAAGGCGATGCAGGTAATGGGCACCTATTGCAAAATCGTGGGCAGAGGGTGGGGATGCCGTGTCATAGGGTCTGGCTACTTGCTGGGAACACATGAGAGGCTTGTGGTTTAGGGTTAAGGAGAATACAATGAACTCATCTTCCTAGTGGTGATCTATAATAGCAGGCTATGAATAAAGCAGAAATAGCCTGCCTTCTGAAATGCAGGAGTCAGAGGACATGTAGCAAAAGGTAAATGAAATGACGCTCACATGAAAAAATCAGACGAGCACCCCTCTTAGACTGCACTCCAGAAGGATGGTTTGATGGTGAGGGGGACACCTGTTTTTCAGAATTCTCTCACCTTAAGGGAATCAAAGCTGGGAGTGGCCTTGAAGGTCACCGTGGGCAGCCTCCTCCAGCCCCGCCTGGCCCTGCCCTGCACTTAGGATTAAGTGCTCAAGTGGCCTTGCTGCTGAAGGCTCAAGGGCTCCCTTGGGGCCGTAGGGCTCTATGGACATGGCTGGACTGCACTGGACACAGTGAGGATTTTGCTTAAAGTATGGCATTGGGCAGCCTTTGGTCTGATTTCAGGGCCTCTCTTGAGTTGTGTCCTGGCAGCCCCCGCTGAATGTAAATGGGTGCTACGTTCAGCCAGCCCTGGGCTGAGCAGTGTGTCCACCACCCTGTGCTGATGTTAGATGAGCATGTCCTCCCGAACAAGGTCCCCATCTGCCTTCTGGGTTGTCCTCACAGAGCCAGGCTGACCATCTTCTTGTCCAATACCAAAACCCGTCTTTATGGGGAGCCATAGTTCTCTGTAAAGTGACGCAAACTCAGATGCCTACAGCATCTACACCAACTGATGACGTGAACAAGTAAAACAGGCCAGGTGGGAGAAACCGTGTCACCCTCTCTGGCTGTCTTTTGTCTTTCCACATTTCATAGAAAGGTGAGTTCTAAGAAGTGTCTCACAAGGAGGCCGTGAGTCTGCAGGTGCAATGAGAATTTGTCAGGGCTCCCACGTGGGACCAGCGTAGAGAGCTCAGAATTCCTGGTCAGTCCCTCGGGTGATACCCTATAGGCCTGCCTCAGTCAAAAGAAACGAGAAATCTGCATTTCTAAAATTACCTGGTTTTCAAATTTTGGCTCAAACTTTCCAAAAATACTACATAGGTCGAACAAAGCCCACTTGCATACTGCACACGCTGAGACCACTGGTTACTATCTCCTGCCACAGAGTGATGGCTCTAAAGTCACACAGCCTAAAAACTGCAGGCAGGTGCATCTGGAGGCAGGAGGAGGAGAAAGCAGGAAGAAGGGATGATCAGGCAGTGGAGGTGAGGGTCAGCAGGCAGCCAGAGGGGAAGCTTTGACACTAACTCAGCGGTAGCTTATTCTTACTGTTTTGATGACAGCTCTTGATGCCAGAATTAAAGGTGAGTATGCCTGGTATATACATGATTTAGCTATATTTATTTAAGAATATAAACAGAAATGTATTTTTTTCTTCCAGCAGTGACATAGGCATTCCTGGCCAGGTGTGGTGGCACTGTAATCCCAGGGAGGCCAAGGCGAGAGACTCACTTGAGCTCAAGAGTTCTATAAGAAAAAGAAAAACTGGGCAGCACCTGTGGCTCAGTGGGGAGGGCGCTGGCCCCATATACCGAGGGTGGCGGGTTCAAACCCAGCCCCAGCCTAACTGCAACAAAAAAAATAGCTGGGTATTTTGGCAGGCGCCTGTAGGCCCAGCTACTCGGGAGGCTGAGGCAAGAGAATCACCTAAGCCCAGGAGAAGGAGGTTGCTGTGAACTGTGTGACACCATGGCACTCTACCAAGGGCGATAGAGTGAGACTCTATTTCTACAAAAAAAAAAGAAAAATTAACCAGGCACTATGGCAGGTGCCTGTAGTCCCAGCTATTCAGGAGGCTGAGGCAGGAGGATCACTTGAGCCTAGGAGTTTGAGGTTGCTGTGAGCTAGGTTGGGACCACAGCACTGTAGCCTGGGAAACAGTGAGAGTCTGTCTTAAAAGGGGATAAATAGGGCTAAAAAAAAAAAAAAGCTCCACACCAGTAGCTCAGTGAGTAGGGCACCAACCACATATACCAAGGCTGGAGGGTTCCAGCCCAGCCCAGGCCTGCTAAACAACAATGAGAACTGCAAAAAAATAGCCAGGTGTTGTGGCAGGCACCTGTAGTCCTAGCTACTCAGGAGGCTGAGGTAAGAGAGTTGCTTAAGCCCATGAGTTTGAGGTTGCTATGAACTGTGACACTACAGCACTCTACTAAGGGCAACATAGTAAGACTCTGTCTCAAAAAAAAAAAAAAAGTGTCAGCTCTGTGCCTATAGCTCAAGCGGCTAAGGCACCAGCAACGTACACCAGAGCTGGCAGGTTCACATCCAGCCTGAGCCTGTCAAACAACAATGACAACTACAACCAAAAAATAGCTTGGTGTGGGTGGTGCCTGTGGCTCATAGGAGTAGGGTGCTGGCCCCATATGCGGGAGGTGGTGGGTTCAAACCCAGCCCCAGCCAAAACTGAAAAAAAAAAAAATAGCCAGGTGTTGTGGCGGGTGCCTGTAGTCCCAGCTACTTGGGGACTGGGGATTCAAGAGAATCACTTGAGCCCAGGAGTTGGAGGTTGCTGTGACCTGTGATACCATGGCACTCTACTGAGGGCAGCAGCTTGAGGCTCTGTCCCAAAAAAAAAAAAAAAGGGGCGGGGGGGGGGGGGATAAATAGAGCTAAAGGTATTTAGAAAAGAAATAACTGGAGAGAGAATTTGGATCCCACAGCTGAGCTGGCAGCATCTCAACAGCAGAGGGCAGCAGAGTCAGCCCCCTTCTGCTCAGACCTTTGTATGATTTGAAAACTGATCCTGGACAATGTTGGCCATGAGTGGGCAGGGGATAGCCTAGCTGGGGACTGGGCTGGGAACTGACCTTTGTCTCTTTGAGAGGAAGCAGTGCCAGGATCCTGGGCGTGGTGGATACAATTGCTGATGGGCAAATCTGTAAATTCCCCAGTGTGTATTTATTACAATAAAAAGAACTGTTTTGGCTCCACCCTGGGGTAAGGCAGTGATGACAAGAGCTTAACAGGTACCCCCGCTCCCTGGTCAGGCCTGTGGTGGACCACGGGGACATGAGTGGAGGATTTACTTCCTATTACCCTCCAGAGCAGGAACACCTGCTGCTAATACATGGCCATTCCCCCTTGCTGGTTTTCAGATGTTTGCAGTCTGAATCCATGTCCCTTAGGCTGGTGGGAGGTTTGAGTGGGCATCACCTCCTTCTGCAGGGCCAAACACAGGGCTGTGTGTGCTCCAAGCATAGAAAATGTTTTCTCACTCATGAGACAATAAGGTCAGTGTCCGTGCACCGAGGGAATCCCGTGGGGGAGGCCTGCCCTCCACCTGCTTGGCATCCTCTTTTCAGTCCCCATGACTATCTGAGACATTGGCAGCAGGAGCCTAAAGTGCAGGCTGATGTGGATGTGCCATGCTGGTGACTGTGATCTGTCAGTGAGGATGAAGGACACAGAAACCAGAACTCACCTTAGAACCCAGGCCTGCACCACCTCACTGCTCTGAGCTGAGCACAGGCCATGTACTGGGTTTCAGGCCAGCTCCACATGGTGTGATGGCCTCAGAGTTTGCTGCCTGAGAAAGTGTTGGGAGCCCTTCTCTAAGGGTATATCAGCCTGTTTTGTTGTCAGCCCTGTCCCACCACTGTCTAAAGTTCAGGGCTTCACTTCCAAATATCAGCACAGAATTCCTGCCCTGCCATACGCCCTAGAGACCACAACGTGGACTCTCTGTTGGAAATAACCTACACTTCCAACCACAGGGACAGGGTAAATAAATAACTGTGTAGCACAGCTGTACAGTTCAGTATTATGCAGCTAGTAAGGTTTTGGGCTCACACCTGTAATCCTAGCACTCTGGGAGGCTGACGTGGGTGGATCACCTGAGCTCAGGAATTTGAGACCAGCCAGAGCAAGACTGAGACCCTATCTCTAATAAAATTAGAAAAACTAGTCAGGCATTGTGGCAGGTGCCTGTACTCCCAGCTCCTTGGAGTCTGAGACAGGAGGATCACTTGAGCCCAGGAGTTTGAGGTTGCAGTGAGCTATGATTGAGCCACTGCATTCTAGCCTGGACAAATGAGTGAGACTATCTCAAGTAAAATAAATAAATAAATAAATATCACAGAAAAATGTGACACATTGTTTTTTAAAAACACAGGTTGTTTAACTGTGGTATTATTTCAGTTAAAGAGTGTGTGTGTGTGATGAAACTAATTTAAACCTTTTTATATGAAAGCTATAACCAAATAGCCTAAGAATAAGGGGAGGGGGGAGGGAGAAGGGAGGGGGGAATGGGTGGAGGGAGGGGGTTTGGAGGGATTACTTCTGAGGTTTACCTTATAGGGGTACAGGTGGATCTTTCTAGGAGCAGAATGTGAATGTTTTGAAGCAATGACTGAGAAAATGACATGAAGGCTGTGTTGACCAGTTTGATGGAAGTGTTTCGGATTGCATGTGGAGACTCCACACTGTACCCCAGGGGTGCATTGATGTGCATAGTTACCATTCAATGAAAAAAAAAGAAAAAAAAAAAGAGTGTGTGTGTGTGTAAAATTGGCTAGAAAAGTATGCCCAAGGAGCAAGCAGAGGTTAGTTATTGCTGGGTTATGGGATTATAAGTTATTTTTCATTTTTATTTTTGCCTACCAGTTTTTTCTCAATTTGGGGTTTTTTACCCCCAATACCCTGTTACATTGTTTTTGTCCAAAATATTCAGATTCTTTTCCTCAAGAATCTCCCTGCCTCTGGCTCGGTGCCTGTGGCTAAAGTGGCTAAGGCGCCAGCCACATACACCTAAAGTGGTGGGTTCAAATCCAGCCTGGGCCCGCCAAAACAACAACGATGGCTGCAACCAAAAAATGGCCGGATGTTGTGGCAGGCGCCTGTGGTCCCAGCTACTTGGGAGGCAGAGGCAGGAGACTCGCTTGAGCCCAGAAGTTGGAGGTTGCTGTGAGCTGTGATGCCATGGCACTCTACCCAGGGGGGATAGCTTGAGGCTCTGTCTCAAAAAAAAAAAAAAAAAGAATCTCCTTGCCTCATCTCCAGAAAATTGAATGGCCTGTCTTTGGCCACTGTTAGAATTGTCAGTAAACAGTCCACATAAAAACTATTATACCTAGGATATTTCTGAAGCATGGCGCGGTGGTTCACACCTCTAATCCCAGCACTTGGGAGGCTGAGGCGGGTGTATTGCCTGAGCTCATAGGTTCGAGACCTGGGATATTTCTGCATGTATTTGGTAAAATTGCCATTGAAAACATTTTTCATTAGATTTGAAGCCCCTCATGTAAAGCCCTAGATAACTCTCACAGTTCAGGGCCAGAAAGTTTCTCTCTTGGAATGAACAGGTTTCTTTCTTTCCTTGGGCGGTGAGGGCTGTGTATAGCAATGAGATAGTGAATGTCCCTAGGGACACCCCTAATCTGTGCTTACAGGGAGTCATTTTCTAACCTTAGCCATCTGCTATGATGTCTCCCTTCCTCTCCCTTTTAATGACCTAGTTTTCCATGCTACATAATGTTGAACTATATAGTACAGCCATTCGTTTACCCTGGCCCTATAGGTGGACATGTAGGTTCTTTCCAATGGAGAGGCCACATTGTGCTCTCTAGGGCATGTGGCAGGGCAGGAATTCTACATGGATATTTGGAAGTGAAGCCATGAACTTCAGATGGTGGTGGGACAGAGCTGACAGCTAAACAGGCTGACATACCCCCACACCACAGATAGAAATACGACTTTTTTTTTTAGTTACCCTCAGTAGAGTGCTATAACATCACAGCTCACAGCAACCTCCAACTCCTGGGCTCAAGCGAGTCTCCTGCCTCAGCCTCTCAAGTAGCTGGAACTATAGGCTCCTGCCACAATGACTGGCTATTTTTTGGTTGTAGTTGTTGTTGTTTAGCTGGCCCAGGCCTGGGCTTGAACCTAGGTTTAGCTCGGTATATATGGCCAGCACCTACTCACTGAGCTACAGGCGCCAAGTCGAAATATGACTTTCTTATATACAGTATTATCCTTTTCTCCCTGTAAGTTAAGTCCTTTTTAAATTTTTTATTTTATTTTTCTTTCTAGTCATTGACTTAAAGCTTAAGGTTAAGTCCTTTTCAAAAGCAGGTGGGAACTAAATAGCTGGCATGTCTGTCCTTCCTTTATAACCTAAGCTCCTTTAAAGCAGGAACTGTGGCTTTTCATATGTATATCACCAGGCCCTAGAACAGGGTCTGATGCATAGCAAATGATCAGTAAAAGTAGAGTGGGTGGACAGATGGGTGGACAAAGGAAAGATGGATGGACGGATGGGTAAACAAGGAGAACCAAGGTAGGAAGGGCTATTTCTAGAGCACCATCCACACAGCCACTGTGGCATCCTGTCCCTCCTGGCCAGCAGTTGCGGTTTCCTTCTGCTGCTCTATTTGCTGACGGCTCACTTCTCCTATGAGGTGGAGCTGAAACTCCTGACCTGGCCAGTGGTCCTCAGCCCTGCTGGCTGGGTTCATAGACTTCTCCTCCCAGCCCTTCTTCTCGCCTTCCTCCTAGTTTCTACTTTTACTTATTTGTCCATATTTTTGAAATCACAGCTGATTAGTGGTGATTACTCTGTATCTGCAGGTTCTGCATGGCCCTGGCTAAATAGGTGCTTGGGGTAGTAAGGTAGCTCCCGTGAATCTGGGCAGGCCATGCCTTGGTAGGGCTGTTCCTACAGGGTCCTACCTGAGTAGCCTCCTGGGCTCATTCAGAAGAGGTTAGAGCCAGTGAAAACGTGCCCTAAACCACATTTTTAGCTGATCTAAAAACCAAGTCTTTAATTAATTGTTTTACCTAGATGTCATCCTTCAGTCACAGCTCCGTGTTCCAGTATGGAAATCGTTAGGAGCCAGGGGCTCTAGTCTCGACCCCACCAGGATGCCCCATGCAGCTATCTGTAAAATCAGGTTCAATACCTGCCCTTCCTCACTCCCCAATCATTGCAAAGATCAAGTGAAGTGTGTAGTAAAGTCACTTACAAAGAAAGTACTAATTTTCTAGAACATTTGAAAAGATAGGTGAAAGAGGGTTTCTCAGAGTCCTGGGGGTTGCTGTCACTTGTACGACTACCAGCAGAGATTGGCTACTGCAGAAAAAGCCATGTTACCTCCCATGCAACTTGTTTCTTGTTCCAAACAATTACTCCTATATCTAATGAGTCTGGATATGGGAACCCCCCCCACACACACAGGGTTGTGGAGGAGCATGGTGTGATGTCTGCGCTCAGGCAGGAATCATCTCCCCGGCTGTCCCTGCCCATTCCCGCCTGAAGTGAGAGCACTGACCGAGCCTGTGGTTTATCTCCTGCAGGAACAGCTTGAGAACTACGACTTCACCAAATTCCACTCGCTGAAACCCAAGCTCATCGAGGCCGTAGACAACATGCTGAGCAGCAAGATCTCATCCCTGATGAGCCTCATCAGCCAGGAGGAGACAAGCATGCCCACGCAGCTCGTCCAGGGCGGAGCCTTTGAAGGCACCTCTGAGGGCCCCTTCAACCAGGGCTATGGGGAGGGTGCCAAGGAGGGCGCCGACGAGGAGGAGTGGGTCGTGGCCAAAGACAAGCCTGCCTACGATGAGCTCTTCTATGCTCTGTCACCTGTCAACGGCAAGATATCGGGCGTCAATGCCAAGAAGGAGATGGTGACCTCCAAGCTGCCCAACAGCGTTCTGGGCAAGATCTGGAAGCTGGCTGACTGTGACTGCGATGGCATGCTGGATGAGGAGGAGTTCGCGCTGGCCAAACACCTCATCAAGATCAAGCTCGATGGCTACGAGCTGCCCAACAGCCTGCCCCCCCACCTTGTGCCCCCCTCTCACAGGAAGTCCCTGCTGAAGGATGACTAAGATGCAGGCTGAAGGCGGGCCACAGCAGGGGAGTCAGGGGACCTGGGCTTGAGGCCTGCTCTGCCACTGACTCATTGAAGGACCTTGAGCAAGGCACTGCCCACTCTGTGCCTCGGTTTCCCCATCTGTAGAATGGGGAGGACAGACACTGGACACTAGATGAGGTCTTTTCACTTTCGGAATTCCCATGAGTTTCTATTAAAATGTTGGGGGAGGGGGGGTGCCAAGGAAGGATAAGGAGATTGAAGGGTTGAGAAGAAAGGGAAATTGTCCAGAGAGTACTTGGCAGCCTGGAGAAACACATAGAGATGGGCTTGGTGGACTCCCAGGAACCTTGGGGGACTAGGCTGGGGCTTGCCAGGAGTAGCTGGGTCTTTGGGGCTGCCTGGGCTGCTTGTCATCATGAATGACCTCCGGAGCACCTGTCCATTCCTCAGAGGGCACCAGGAGGCAGCAAAGACTATCTTAATTTATTTTGTTTTCTTCTATATTTAGAGTGGGAAAAAAATAGAGCAGAGTTTCGGCTCTCTCCAGACTGTCTACCAAAGAGAAGAAGACTGATGTCCCCGGGTGTGGGAGGAGGATGCATTGTGTCTGAGCACCCCATCCCTTTGGCAGGCCCCAGCAGAGAGGGCAACCGAGCCCCGGGGCCCCTCTTTCCCGGCACCCTGCTGACCAGATCACCAGCCCTCCCAGACCTTCCTTCTGCGGCCTTCCCAGTAAAGCTGTATTTTATTAGGAATTTGGACCTCAACAACCATTAACCCCGGCAAGACTTCCAGTTTGCATTTCAAGTCATGTTGCAATCTGGAAGGAAAAGAGGGGGTTCTCCTTAGTGGCCCTGTTCCTAACCGTTAAATGTCTCCAAACCACCTTGGTTGAAGACAGGATTTAAATTCAGTGAAAACCTGTCTTGCTGTGTGCAGTGTCCCAGGCTCTGTGGACACAGGTGAATGAGAGACCAGCCTTGTCCTGGGCTGGTGACTACATGAGATCAGTCTGCCAGAGTTAGACATTGGTTTTGTGAAAACAGGCATTTATGATGTCCAGTGATGTTTTTTCCCCTCTACAAGATAAAAACCTTTATATAGAAACAAAGTGGAATCTTACATATAAAACCCTTTCCTTCAGGGATTTGGGCACTTAATACCTTTGTGTTGGCTCTGAGTGTTCTTTCCCCCAAATCCCCCGAGTAAACCTCCCCGGACCTCTTGTTCAGATGCCGGTGTCAGGAGAAGGTGGTTCGTTCTTACCACCACCCTCCTCTGTGGGTACCAGCAGAGGGAGGCAGGTGCCTTTCAACATTATTATTTATGCAATAGAGACACAAAATAGCAACGGGTACAAGGCGTGGGGCCCTGCTGGCACCAGAAATGAATGAAATCAGAACAGTCCCACTGAACCTTCCAAAAACCATACAATGATTTTTTTGACACCTGCCTCTGGTAACATCAAGGCCAGAGATGAAGATTTAAGAGCAAATATATATGTATTGATGTAGGGAAGCATTTAGGTCCAGATGCCAACCCTCATACTCCCAGTTTACTTTCTAAATAGTTTTTATTTTATTAACTTTTTTTTTTTTTTGAGACAGTCTCACCATGTCACCCTTGGTAGAGTGCCGCAGCATCATAACTCAGCAACCTCAAACTCCTGGGCTCAAGCAGTTCTCTTGTCTCAGCCTCCCAGGTAGCTGGGACTACCGGTGCCTGCCACAACGCCTGGCTATTCTTTTTGTTGCAGATGTCTAGCTGGCCCAGGCCGGGTTCAAACCTGCCACCCTCGGTGTATGTGGCCAGCGCCGTAACCACTGTGCTACAGGCACCAAGCCTACTTTCTAAATAGTTTTAAGAGAGAAGTAAATGCATAACATGGTTTTTTTAGTCTCATAATGAGAACTTTTAAGTGAGCAAAATGCATAGAAAAGAAACACTTTTAATTCCAGTCCTGCAATGTGAGCAGACAGTTCTGTGAGCGCTGGAACTGTGAGGATGGCCCCTACTCTGTGCATAGCAGAGGCTACCAAAGGGTAAGTTGAGGAGAAGAGAGAGTTTATTTGTCCAAAGACTTGGAGATGCCAGTGAGGGCTGATTTTCCATTCAGAATTTTCTTCTTTAACTCTGCTCAATTGTCATATATAAACATACATTTTTATAAATATGTATGTCATGTGAGTATTTTTAAAGTTTATCAACATGTACCATGTAGACATGGCCTGGTTTTGTCTGTGTAGACACATAGGAACACTTTTCACAGGGGCAGCAGTCCGAGGTTTCTGGTCTCCCTGTGGAAGGAAACTTCCCAGGGCATGTGGCCTCCCAACCCCTATTGGGGGAGACTTCCGGCTGCTGGATTCTTTCTCTGCTGGGACTTGGTGATGTTCTTGGGGGGTAAAAAGGAAATTGTGTGTCCACTTCCTTAATATCTTCTTTTACAACATGAAGTCATTTCTCATGAAAAGTTCACTGAAAAGGAAAACACTAGAAAACATTCGGGATGGGGACCGACTTGGATCTTCCTAGGATGGCACAAAGTTCCCTGAGTCTGAGTCCAAACTGCCAGTTATCCCCGACACAGCAGGGCTGTGGGGCCACCCCCATGGTCTGCTCCCCTAGGCTGTGTTGCCCTTCCCCTACCACCCCAATTTTCAGACCCCCTACCCAGCATGTTTCTGTGTGGCAGGGAGGGTGGAAGTGCCTAAAACCTAGAAGTGTAAAACTAGCTTAATACTCTCCACAGAAGAAAATCTAAGCACGTCGAGGCCCTCCTTTCTACACAGCATATAGCATCACATAACGCAAGCCTCGCAGTGTTGAGTTCAGAGAGGAAATGAAATGTCACTCTGTTCCTCCCAAAGCCAAGTCCCAAGTTGTCAACCTGCCAGTGGGGTCCTCCTGACCCTATCTGCAAAGAAATATTGCACTAAGACTTGCTGAAACTGCCCCGCTCCATGGGGACATGCAGATGTCCCACCAGCTTCCACCCATGCCCCAACCTGGCAGCTCTGTTCTCTCAAGACTCCAACGCCCCACACGTGGACAGCCCAGGAGCAGCAGCGGGCTGCACAGGGGAGGGCCGTTCATTTGGTTCACTTTGCTTCTCCAGGCTGGCATTCCATCCTCTTTTGAACACTGGAGTGGGGCTACGGTTCAAGGAGTTGAATTCTTATGCTGTATCGTGGGGCCAGGTGTCCAGGAGGTGAGAGCAGCTAAGGAAAAGTAAAATGCCTCCTGCGCTGCCCCCAATCCCCACCCTTGTCACAAGGCCCTGGTAGAACCCTGGCCCAGCTGCTCTGTCTGCTGTCCCCTCCCATGCTTCTGTGTGGCCTCTGAGGGCACATACTGGAGTCCACTGCCTAGGGGCAAGTACTCCCTGGACGTTTCCACCTCACACTCTTCATGCTCCTTCCTTATGCCCAGGAGCTGCTTGGGACAAATTGCCTTGAAGATGAGGGAAGCATTTTACGTTTGTTTCCTCTATGGAATGTAGCAGAATAGCCTTCTTAGGACACATAACTACTGAGTTTGCTCAGGTGCAAACTGGCCTAATTGAAGAATGTATCAGGTTACATGTCAATTAACCAATGCAATTAATACACAGTGCTTCTATTTTTTTTTTTATTTTGTAATCTTAGAAGTGTCAAAGAAAACACAATCTGCTGACTAATAAACTGATGGAAAAGCACTATCATTCTCCCCTTGGCTCTGGCTTCCAGTGGTGGCATGCCAGCCACCCAGGGGTAAAGTGTAGATCCCTGAAATAAGGTAGAGGATCTATCAAATTGTGGGCCTGTGAGCCACCCATCCTTTTCCTCCGCCCTCTGGTTCAAAACAGGAACCTCCCTAAATGGGGCTGTTCTGGAAGGAAAACAGCTCCACCACTTGAGGGACCGGGAGGGCAGAGTGGACAGCACAGGCCGCAGAGACCAGGTGTGCAGACAGGCTGGAGGGAGGCCCAAGAGCCCACTTGTTGGCTGGAAACCAAGACAGGAGGGAGTTGCAGAGGCAGGCTCTTCAGGGGCTAGGGGCAAAGCATGCCTGAGGAGTCTCTTGGGAGGCTTGGGAAGAGCCCCTGGGTGGCTGGCACTGCTTTGCCCATGCCACACCTCACATGTGTGTCCCGACCATAGTAGACATAGGATTTTTCCTGTTGACACTACTTTTTGGGTTATCTAGAGCTTTGCAGAGCACTCCCTTCTTCCCATCCTCACTCTGAGCCATAGGTTTGAGTGATAGAGACCCCATCCCCTTGGTCACAGATACTGGTTCAGGAATGGACACATGACCCATTTAAAACCTGTAAGTGCCAGACCCCCAGACTTCTGTTCCAGCTCTTTGGGGAGTTGCTTCCTCTTCTCTGAACCACGCAGTATAAACAAGTGAGCCTACGGATGTAACAATATCAATGGCATTAAGAGAAGTGTCCAGAGCTGCAGGGGATTCGAGGCCATCCTGTGGAACATGACGATGAAGGAGGCATTGAAAAAGGCAGAGGAAATCCAGGCCTATGGTGACATTTGAGCTGCTGGATCAAACCTCACCTGAAGTCCTATTCCTGCTAGACTTTTCAGTTATGTGGGCCAATACATTCACTTTATATCATTTAAACCAGTTCAACTTGAGATTTCAATTTTACTTGCAATATGAATAATTCAAACTTTGTACTGACCAAGAGAGTTCTCATTTCTCCAGGGGCTATAATCAGTCATGGCCAAAGAGGAACTGGTCTTTACAGGGTGTGCAGTGGCTTTAGCTGCAGTTGAGCTAGGAAGGAAGGCAGTCCCCCAGCCCCATCCAACAACTTCAAATACAGCAAAGTCTGTTGAGATCTATCATGCAGTTCAGCCTTCCCCCTGGTGCTCACAACACCACACAAGATGCCATGGGCCAAGGGCCTTAACAGGAGAAGACACAAGCTCAGTTATCCCTAGAATGGAGGTGGGGCTTCCTGGAAGCAGCAGGGTTTTACTTGGAATGACAGGACAGGTGAAGGTGGACAATAGGGAAAGGAAAGAGACATTGTAAGCTGAGAGAAAGCTGATGCCCAGCCTTGGAACAGGAACACTCCTGCCCAGGAAATGGAGGGAGGACCACAGGGAGCATCCTAGGCTGAGTGGGGGCAGATGAACCTGCTTAGATAAACTGGGAGCCTTCAAAGGCATTGTTCCAGCAAGTCTGACAGGCCTGGGTTTTCTTTCCACGTAGGCAATGGGGCACCTTCTCAGGTGCACACAGAGCTGTGCTTCGGAAAAGAAACAGCAGTGGAGGTGGGACATAGGCAGAGGACAGTGCTGAGGCCCTGCTGGGGCAGTGAGAGCAGAAAGGGGAACACTGGAGTCATAGATGCAGCTGTCAGTGAGGAGGGAGCACAGACCTATCTCTAGCATTCAGAAGCCAGCAGCAGGAGAGAGCTCAAGGGGAAAGGATGACAGGAGAGGAAATGTCTCTCAGACACAAGGGAGCTGCTGCCCCACCCCAAGTCTATGGCACTTCTCAGCACAGCTCCTCTGCCTACTGCAGTCCCCTGGGGGTCCAATGTGACTGCCCAGGCCCAGCTCTGGAGGGCAGGTGGTGGCTGCTGCCCCTTTTGGGGCCTTGGCTGCCAGGAGTGCCTGCCTGAGGGGTATTGCCCCTCCTGGGAAAGTCTCTGGGACCACCAGGTGGAGGTGCCCGCAGACACAGCCTAGTGACTGCTACCCTGAGTTTGGCCAGACAACTGTGTGAAACCACCAGAGTTAGAACTTGCTTTTCCTCTGCATGCAGTCCGAGGGTGCTCAAGGAGGCTCCCTCTGCACCCCTGCCTCCATACCCTAGGCCACAGCTAGCTCTGCAGAGCCCCAGAGCCATGTCTCTGACTTTAGGGGAGATGCCACAGCCTTTGCGATTACAACTCCTCCCTTCCTGGGGGAGTCCCCTGGGTTTGAGAGAATACCCACCCTTTAACCCTGTGCTAAGTATGTTACACCTCTGTCAGGCCTTGGAAACCCAAGCCTGGGGTCTGAGGATGCCCTCTGGGCTGTTCCCAGGCGCTTCATCCCCCACGTGGGTCTTCACAAAGAGGACTCTGCGGGGGTGAGGAAAGGCAGCCCCAGATTGGGCAGTGGGTCTCCAGGAGGTTCCAATGGAGGTTCTACCCTTTGGTGCCTCTCACCCAGACCTCAGTGCCCCATGATTCTCCTACCCAGAGTCAACAGGCTGTCCCAAGGGTCTCTGTGTCCTAGGGCCAAGACACTATCTAGAGCTGGGGAAACTGCAGCAGGAGGGGGGTGGGCAGGATGATGAAGGAGGATGGGCACTGGGCCTGGAGCATTCTTCAGCCACCCCCTCCCTGTCTGGGCCACGCCCTGTGGCAGGTGGGAGGACAACGATGCCTGTGTGCAGTCTCCCTGACGCACTGGCTCACGGGGAGGGCTGTGGCATGGCCTCAGCCTCTCCTGATATTTCTCCCTCCCTGTGTGGTCCCTGCTAAATGCCATCACCAACTGACCAGCAGGGCCTCCTCCCCAGGACCCAGACATCACCAAGGTAGGCAGTTTCCTGTTTTCCTTCCACCTGCCCTAATCAACCCAAGGAGCAGCTGCCAGTTGTAGTTAAGGTACTCAGCACCAGGGACTCTGAGAATCCTCAGGAAGGTAGGGTGGGACAAAGGGGGTCTTGGGCCATTCAAGCACATGGTACCAGCCAGAAGCACCAGACCTTCCCTGGCTAAGCTCCAAGCCATAACCACCACCAAAAACAGGGACAATCTGGCAAGGCAGTGCCCCCAGGCCCCTGGCAGAGTGGTCGTCAGTATCCACCTTCTCCCCTGAACTCCATGCCCCCAGGTCTCTAGGCTTAGGGAAATGTACAGTGGCCCCTCATGCCCAAGGGCTGTAGTCCTGATAGTGGGTCAGCCCCAAAATTCCCAGTACACCCTATAGCAGGAGGCCCAGCTACAGAGCTCTGGGTCCCACCCAGTCCAGGCCCCACCATGGACTGTGAGTATGAGATGGGCCACGTGCGCAAGCTGCAGGCCCGGCATATGCAGATGCAGGAAAAGACTTTCACCAAGTGGATCAACAATGTCTTCCAGCACGGCCAGGTGAGCACAGCCGGTGCACCCCGTAGCCCACTCCATGGTGCCCCTAGCTCTGGCCAGTGGACCTGAGGGACAGGCTGTGTCTTCACCTGCCAGAGTCTTCTCTTGACCCAGAGCTCTTTCCTCCAAAGCCGCTTCTCTGGGCTGTATCTCCCAGGTCCCAGGATGGGGCAAACAGAGAGAATAGAGCAAACAGACCTTGCCCCTTCCCCACCCTCTCCCCAGGTGGGTATCAGAATCCAGAACCTATATTCAGAGCTGTCTGATGGCACCCACCTACTGCGGCTGCTGCAGCTCATCTCAGGGGAGGTGCTGCCGCCCCCTAGCCAGGGCCGCCTGCGTGTCCACTTTCTGGAGAACAGCAGCCGCGCGCTGGCCTTCCTCAAGTCCAAGGTGAGCCCCATGGAGAGGGCTTCTGTGTGAGGTGCAGGGGCAGCAGCTGGGACAGGCTGAAGGACTGGAGCATCCTTCCTGGGCTGGGCCACAGCAGAGCAGAGGAGGAGGGTCCTCTATAAAGGAGGAGCAGGTGGGACACAGAGGTACAGGAAGCTAAGCCTGCCCTGTACAGAACCCCTGACTTGGAGGGCCCCCACCAGCTGAGGCAGGAACAAGCAACAGCCCTACTGGGACTGAAAGTGCCCCCTGTCTGTGAAAAGAGAGAAGCGCAGGAGTCTCAGCCAAAAAGAGTTTGGTATTCTCCTAACTTTCTCATTTCATAAATGAGGAAACACAGGCCCAGAATTATTCACCAGGCAAAACCGATGATTAACTGGCCAGCAAAGCCCAGAAGTGGAGCCGTGGGAGTTCAGTGGGCAGCAGGAAACAAAGGGAGAAGCCTTGGACAGGAAGCCTGGCAGTAAGGAAATAGGAGGAAGCCAGAGCTACCTGTAAGAAAGGGACAGGCCGGCTCGGCGCCTGTGGCTCAACCGGCTAAGGCGCCAGCCACGTACACCTAAGGTGGTGGGTTCGAATCCCCAGCCCGGACCCGCCAAACAAC